GTACATGTACATGTATGTCATCAACTGATTGATATTGATATGGTACATTCCAATCACGAGGATCGTGATGAACGCAATTCATGTATAGTGCTATGGTACATTCTACACAAAGTGGAAACTTCACAATGCTCGCACAGCACCTGAACAGCCCTTGTTATGTACACGTATATGCACATGTACAATGTACGTTATACTTAAAGCACGCACTGTAAACATGGTGAACAGTGCACACCATTTGCAGTGGTCTTGATTGTGCTGCAATAAGTCTTAGATCCATGGGTCTGACAAAGTAAGAACTTATGACAGTCAGTTTCCATCACACTTCCAGGGGTCTATGCTATTTTCTTTCACAAACCTACTGAGCCAAAATATGTTGTGTGACCTGCTAAACCAGAAGCTAAAGACTAGTGCATAATGATGGTGCAGCAAGGTCAGATCATATTTACTTACTTCAAATTTTATCCCACACAACTCTTGTGCAAATTGTCTCCAAACTGTTACACACAAACCAATGTCCTAAGAAAGGATTTTCCTTTCCCTTTGAGATCAGTCATTGTGTCTAAAAACCTATTCCTTCACTTCAATGACTCTGCACTGATGTATTTTGATATCAATTCATCCATAAGAGGATTCACAAAAAAAAATATTTAATCCCTACCCCTGAATTTTCAACATCCTGGCTACACGGACATGACGGACAGATAAAAGGAATCAGGAAAATAAATTAAATAAATGGTAGAATGGAAAAAGTGGAAATATCGGAAACACAAATACTTAAACACTTGCCTAAACGTAATCACAGGGAACACTTCCAAACAATATGTAATTCTTCAGTAAATTTCTAAATATAACTTGTCCTTTTTATTTGAACAAATGCTGCATGCTAAGCGAAAGGCACTGACATGGTGTAACTAAATTCTAGACTGTACCAAAATCCTTCAGTTTGTTAATTCCTCCGGGAAAAACTTTACATGCAAGATGACAGGGGACTTTCCTCTCCTCACCTTTATAGAGGCACTCATCAGGAAATTCCTTTCACTATACTTCTTGAGACTTTTATGAAACTCTTTCTTCTTCTCAAAGTCTTCCATGTATTTCTCATCAGTCAGGGAGATTGTCTCAGCAACTCCACCAGTGAAGTCAACAAGTGCATCTGCAGTGTTGCCTCCATCTAGGTTCTCATAGCAACCACTCAGTCTGACATATAACAGAATAATTATGGGTTATTGCTGCTGTTGAAATGATTACCAACTGCCTTAGTAAAACATACATGTACATGTATGTATTGGTACATGTTATATGTTATTACTGGATGTAACATGCAAGGCCAAAGTGTTTTATTGCTACATAAAGTACACATACATGTGCATGTACCTTCGCATCTCCAACCGAATATGTAAAACTAAAGAAAAAGGACATTACATTTCTCACTGAAATGAAAAGTAACATTGCAACCTATAGTATTCTATAACCAAGACAATCATCAAATATTGGCCACATCAACAAATAACCCCTCTTCCTAATTCCTCTCAATCAATTAACCAAAACACAAAAAGACAACTGTAAGAGAATTTACAATTTCCAAAAGTCTCAAGCAAAACTTTACAAATGACTGGAACCTGAAATGAATATGACATGAAGCTTACTTGGCATAGGCTTTTTCAAGCAATGCACTCCAGAACTCATTCCTTTCCTTAGAATGGACATAGATAAGCTTGTTATTGTTGGTTGGTAGACGGTCATCAATCACTACATCCAGCCACTGATTGAAACGCCAGAAACGGAAATGGAAGACCCCACAGTACTTTTCAGGATGTTCATCATCCCACTCCTGCTCCTTGTAGTTAGGTACCACCTGGAGAAATGAGTACCAGTATAAATAACACAAAGAGGACAACAGATACCACATCAAATGGCACCAACAGTGAACTATGTAGTGTGCTTAATTCCTACCGACCAAAACACATTTGACACAAGCAAACTTGCTTAAGTACATGTTTTCACTCCATTTATCCACTTAGTATACATACTTAATGAAAATAAGAGATGTCATGTAAAGTAAAACTCAAGGATTTAACTACATGACATTTTATCATTAAATGATCAAACGCTTTATTCTCAGTATTCCATATAAGTGTTCCATAGGTTTGTCACAGATAATTTCATTAACGAGATGCAACAATGTGTTGTTTAAATGTCTAAGTAATGTCAAGATTTGCCAACAACAGCTAAAACCACAGCACAATAGATGAACATTTGTGCAGTACAGGTTATGCATACACATAATGCATGTATGTGCATGTACTGTACATGTATATTTACTGCACAGAATCCTGTACTGTTGCAGGCAGCCAATCAACTGCTTTGGGGCAACATTGTGAGGAATATTCATTATGCTCTGCCAGCGCTATAGGCAGAGTTGTGAAAAGTAAATATAAATGTGCTTCATAGAAGGTCTTTGCAATTGTTTTCTGGTACATATGTGTGCATCTCTCCTGGGTGAGATAGTTGGTGTGTATTGTAACAGTTTGTAAGCATTACTGTGTGAAGCTGACAAGCCAGTTGATCCAATTTTACTGCAAATTTGGACAAGAAAAACTGAGAAATCTCTCCTATGCTTAACTACCAAGAAGTAGTACTTGAACTATTAGGTAGTGTTTTTACTAGCTTTCCTTATCTGCAGGTACGTGTGGAATTGGAAGGAAGCATCTTGGTCAAAATGTCTTTATAAAATTTGCAGAAAACACAGAAGTCTAAAAAAGGATCCACTGAATGATCAGCATAATGTGTCAGCCAATCACATTAGAGAATTTAGACCAATAAGGGAACTTCTGTGACCAAACTTTTAACCAATGGGATATCTTCTTAATGGGAGGCATGGCTCGATGGATTTAGGGAATGTAATTTAAGGTCAGTTTTGTCACAGCCTTTATAGGGTTTAAGATTTAATAGATTTACCTGCCTCCGCCCCATCTCCACTTTGTGTTAGGTAACGTTATTTTGTGAATGAAATTTTGGCATTGTGCTTGGCATTATCGCAAATATTTGGTTTTGTGTTTCCTGGACGTACACCAAGAACCATTTCTTCCCCGGCGGTTCAGATGGGGGAATTGTATCCTGCATCTAGATTTGAGTCAGCTTGACACTTTGAAGCAGTTTTTGGCCGGAATTTCGACAGACACGGTCAAGAAATGATCTATTATAATGGCAAATAAAGTTATTTGACCAGTTACAGCTGCTAAAGCATACAATGGAGGCACTATGGCTGTAATGTCAATGTTTTGTGACAGGCACTCGAATGGCTCCATGGATGTTCACCATGGGCCATTCCTCCCATAAGTCTCCAATGGGGGAACATCGGGTGCCTGCAGATTTAATAATTCAGGTTTAGCGTTTTCGCTACAGAGTTATTAATTAATTGGTGTTAACATAACTCTTGGCTATTACTGATTTCAGGGTCTGGTGTGTCCGATTGTTATTCAGCATTTATGGGTGAACCAGGTATGTTATAAGTGTTACATTAACATGGGCTACAGTGCCATGTTTAGAGTTGTATAATGGTGGGCCAGGTGTGGCCTAACTTTGATGGTCTGGTGTGCCATATCAATGGTGGGCCTGGTGCACCCTAATTACACGTATGATGGTCTGGTGAGCCATACTTGTAGCAGGGTCTGGTGTGCCATATCAATGGTGGGCCTGGTGCACCCTAATTACATGCATGATGGTCTGGTGAGCCCTACTTGTAGCAGGGTCTGGTGTGCCATATCAATGGTGGGCCTGGTGCACCCTAATTACACGCATGATGGTCTGGTGAGCCCTACTTGTAGCAGGGTCTGGTGTGCCCTGAATATTAACACGGTCTAATGGGCCGTGTTTAGGGTGGGCCTGGTGTGCCCTATTTCATGGCTGGGTCTGGTGTGCCCGATGAAAATGCAATTTTGTTGCCAGTTTGCCCAAAAAACTTCCGGTATCTAGCAATATTGGTAAGAGTTCTTGGAAATAAAACAAAGCTGTGGCCGCAAGACAAAGTGAAGTGTGTAACAAGTACAGTATAGATGTACATGTAGTATGTACACAGTACGTACGTACTGTGCATGTATGTCTCTTCATAGAGGGATCCCAATATCATGCATTTAGCATCGATCTGCGCACATCCGCATTTGAAAACGAGGTTGTATGTACACGAGATATAATGATGCGTATGCACTGTCTGCCACAAAGTAATGCGGTGCCTACTGCCCACGAATCTTAGTCGTATTATGATCAGATGATTGAAAATAAGTATTCGTTACACAAATACGTAAAGGTATGTTAAATTCAGAGTTTTAAGGCTGCAAATTTTGGTGGAAGAGTCTTTCAGGGTGACTCGACAGGCATCTTGAGAGTTGCTGTGACCCAAGGTCCATTGTTACCTGTTACATGAAAACCTTGACTTTGACTTTTCTCATACACTAGTTGCCAATCCTTTTTGCTGAAAAGCCTAGAATTCATCTGGTTAAATACTGGTACGTATCCTTCCATGATAAATGCAACTGAACCTTTGTGAACAATCGTGGTCATGAAATTTCTTCCGAAATTGGAAAACAGCTTGCAGATACATGTAGTTACACGCATTGCACGCCATTTGACAAAAAATTCGAAGATCAAAATGAACAAAATTTCACAGTAGTATCCAGGTAATTTCACTGACAGACAACCAATTCTTGCTGCCAGAATTTGTAACATCCAAAGAAAAAATAACGGCAATTTACTGCGAACTAATGTACATGTACATGTACCTGTGATGGTTGTGTATCTGAATGTATACTGCATGTACCGTGTCAAGTCCCCGGGCGCCCGCAATGAAGTTCAGCAGAGAGAGCCTCAGTTTCCATGCAGATATTCGCAGTCACCATTAATGTGAAATCCCTCTATTAGGGTGTCCATGCATGTACATGTAGTTAATTTTATGGCCCATCATTGCCGATTGACCCTCACTTTCTTCCAACAAAGGAAAAAACTTGTTGTAATGCAAACCATGTCTGGAATTTCCTTCTAAGTAACAAAATTTGGGAAAAAAATGATAACCTTAAAAAAATTGAGACAAGCAAGTTCTTTTTAAAACCCGTTTTCCCTTAACCAACAGATAAAAAATACAAGAACCTGAGAATTATTTACAGACACCCTCAGATGGTACATGTACCTACCGTCTCCCACAGCTCCTTTTCTTGAGCTAGGTTAGCACAGGATGCTACAAACCAACAGTTGCCTAGCTGACCCTGAGATACATCACCTGTGCTTGTACCTTCAACAACAAGATGAGGATTGGGACAAATATCCTGAAACAAATAATAACAAACAACATTCTTTAGTGATTGGACATTCTACATGGACTCCTAGCCATACTGGCAAACACCCATATGATACACATACATATACATACATGTACTGGGTAAAAAATTAAACATAGACCATCATGACCATTCGTGTACAGTGTATACTAGACCAATGAAATTAGAGTCCCCCAAAAACGATAAAATTCAACAAATTCTGTTCATCTTGAATTGACCACTCACCTTAGGTCTCTTCCATTCAATCCTTCCTGGGGAACTTCGTTTGTTGAATAGGGAAGCATCAGATGCAGGGAACTCTGGATCTTCCCACGGGCTGCCACTCGCCTGGCATCTCTTGACTATTTCATCATACTTCTGCCCCTTATAAGGAACTACCTTTTTTCCCATTATGATCTGAAAGGAGAAAAACGTTAACAAAACTTAAAGTTAGAGTAAAAATTTCTCAGTATGATCTTTTGGGTGATGGTGTACCAGTATACCCACTCTATCTACATACTTACACATAAACATACATGTACACTGTATGCATGTATGTGTTTAGTATTAATTAAAGGGTCCCTGAAGACCTTTGTGGACAAACTGTTAAATGTTTAAATATTTACTACTGTTAGTATGCCAATAACAGGATAGGGGATGTTGTGGTAAATTCTAATGACCCCTCCAATGAATGTTTTAACCCTGACAAATGATGGCCTTATGTGTGACGTACATTTGAGAACCCACTAGGCAGGCACTTTTGGTACATGTATATCTCGAAAAAAGAAGAACTTTTACATTGGACATGCACAATTAACATGAACGTGCCTGTGGAATGTTCCAACGTCAAATTCATTTATGTATGTCCACATGTAGGGTGTCCACATGCACAGAAAAGCATGTGCACATGTGGTATGGCCACCGTATGAGCAACTGTATAATTAAGTTGGTGTCGTGGCATACATAAATGGGGTAACATGAGCAATACACATGAGTAGATTTAGTGGAGTAGCCCGGGCTGATTTGGAACCATTTCTATCTTATCCTTTGTCATACACGTTTTAAATGAGAGCGTCTCTTTGTCTTTGATCACAGGCTGTTTTGTTATTTCCCAAAGATCATGGGCACGGTATCTGTCTTCAGCAATTGTTTAAATTTAATCCCAAACCAGATGTTCAAAAGAAAAAATTGTAGCTAGAAATGTGTACTGCACCAGTTTGGAGCTCGCTGTTAGTCCCGGAATTTGGCAGAGGTCAGCCTGACTTCAAATTCATCTAATTTTTGCTTCAGGTGAAATGTTACTCAGGCTTGTCCTATCTGGTCGGCATGATCTCTAAAATACCCCAAAAAATGACTAAATATTCTGAAATCGACCCAAGACAAGCACTGAAGTGCTAGCAGCATACAACATGTCTTTTCAAATGTATGTCAGAGATGCAAATTTTCTCTATAATGAGATACCTATTGAAAGTAGGGCAATTTCGGCAAAATTTTTAAATATTTTTTCTCCTTTTACTTTCTGAATATCATTTAAAAACATAAAATTTTCAATTATAACCAATAAAACCACTTTTCATACATGTATGTGCTAAAAAAATGCAACTGTTCCACACACACCGGGGTACAGGCCGGCACACTTAGCTCTTAAAAGATTTGTGAACTACACAATTTCAAACATGTTCTGGTGTGTGTTTATGAAAAAAGGTACAGGTACATACAGTGTATGTACATGTAATAGAGTAACTTACATGTAATTAATCTCCCTTTCAGTATGAAAACAAACAGACTTTTTTAAGATGTTCAAAGCGATGCAATCTATCCAACATGTACATGTACCTTCATGGCATCAAACTTTGTATGAATTTTGAAGTTTGACAGTTGATTCACTTGTATAATCCGATGCTCTTACATGTACATGTCAGCACTGCTGCCACAGTTGCATATGTTTTTGTCACAAACTGTAAATTGCTGCATTTAAAAAAAAATCCTGACCTACATGTACTTCACATGGATTACATATATAAAAGTCAAGCTGACTTCTAACAAAAAGACTTCAAAAGCAATTTTCTGGATTATAAGACTTGGTACCAATTCATCCCCATACCAATGACATCCCCAGCAAAGGGTACATGTACCAATACATGTAAAATAATATTCATTTCTGATGAAGATGTGGGGTGTACATGTACATGTACTGATACACTAGCAATGTACACGGTTGACAATGATTGCCAATAGAGGTTAAGCCACAGACACCCATGGAAGAGAGACTGTGTGGTATAACTCAATCAAAGAATTGAAACAAAATGGCATCTGAACCAAAAAAGTTGAACATGATAAAAATTTCGGCAAAAATGATCAAACTTTGCCAACTATATACCATATCCAAGTTTGTGCGAGCATTTCCATAAAATGTGTATCACAGGGACTGTTTGACGATGCTGCCTAAATCCTCTACATAGCACTCATCTTCATGCGCAGTGGCAAGAGACTACATGTACATGTATTCATACTGAGTGGAGAATAACGCAAGACTTCAGTATGGAAGTCTCAAGACCACATGGTCAATGACTGTATGTGTGTGTACATGTGCAGCTTCTAGAAAAAGAAATCAACCTAAGTGTGTGTTATTTGCCGCGTCTGTACAGAGAAAGTGAAAATACATATCCAATTTTAACAGTGAAAGTGACTGGATTTGATTCCTGTGACAGTTTAACTATAATTCACTCCTCAATGTACACATGTATGAGGATGATGGCACGGTATGCCCATATTGCTGGTATGGGTCAATGTGGTCCTTAAACCTGTTGGTGGCTCAGTAACATAGCACCATGGCCATAACAGCAGCAGCATCACAACACAAGCAGTCAGCGATGATGTCCACATATATCCACTGCTTTCCTAAATTCAAATTGCTTCTGAAGATGCTGGATACTCCAAAAATCCTTGGAATGCACATGTACCAGTACATGTACTTATCTGCATCAACTGGAAAGGTTTAAATTCTACCATGTCTATAGTACCCTCAGTGAGCGTTGACCACGAACAATTGATTCGATGCATTATATAAAACCTGAAGAACACCAAGTCACAGTTTACAAGATTTGTGTCCAAAACTACAAACTGCACAAGGCTGGGGTACATGTATGTTTTATTTAATGACAAAAATGCAACAAATCATGCAGAGAAACTTGACAGAATAGTCAAAGTAGTGGACAAGAACCTTGCAAGAACATGGCATGCCTCTACTGCAACACTCGCATCAGATTTCTTGTTAACTTGTTTAATGACCAGTAACTTCTTAGAAGAAAAAGAAATATCGTAAATTGAAAGATTCTAGTGGGGAAAATTTAAAATAAAATCAGACTAAAGTACACGTACATGAAACAATTTCCTTACACGGCATGTTTCTCATTTTTGTTTTTTTTATAAATTTCAAACTGGGTTTCTTCATGTCCTGGTATGTACATTGTAAGTGTGCCTGTGTTTACTTCATAGCAGTAGGAAACCCAGTTGTCATATTACCCACATGGTTACACTACATGAAAGAACACCACCAATTGCAGAAGAAAATATGACCCATTTTACATATATACATGTACCTGTAGAGGAATTGATCAGCTTTATAAGAACAATTGCAATGCACGGTATGGCCTGATATCTAAAACTGTACCAGCACCTCCACTTTCTGTGCAATGCATGTACATGTACATCCTACCACATACTGTATCTCTGTCTTGTGTCATTTGCATAGTTTCTGCAAACATGTACCTTTCTGAATGTAAGTACACAAATGTACGGTATGTTGCATGTACGGGCACATGTGTACAAAAACCTTCAACACAATTTTGTTCACAGTTCAGCAACTTGCACAATGGCTACATGTGAGTAGTACATACCGGTACATGTACATATGTTTACATGTAGGGCACATTATTGACAGGGGAGGGGCCATCTACAAATAAAGTGTACATGTACATGTAAGGGAAAGAATTACAGATGACCAAAATCCTGAAAAATGTCAAGAAGAGAAAATTCTGAAAAAACGGAATGTGGTTGGGGTCTGTCATGTCTGTTGAACATTGCATTACATGTACTGGTACATTTCATTGTCTATTTTTACTTCTTCAATGATTTCATGTACAAAAACACATACACTCTGGGTACAAACTGTACGTGTACACCCACACATGTACATGTATGTAGGCATGTACATTGTACATGTATATTGTGTGGGTGTGATACGTGGGTCTTTTTTCTTTAGGGATTCAATGGAAACACAAACAAACAATGATACACTCTGACAGGGTAGGGTTGTTTAGTAAACTGCAAGTCAAAAGAGTCAAGCTTTCACAATTCACACTGTTTATGTAAACCCATCTTTTGGGGGGAAGTTTCCCCAAAATGATGGGTTTACTTTGAATTAAAATTTCAATGTTTTTGAAACATCGAAATTTTTTTATTTTGCTTATGAAATGTGTAATGTCTAAATAGTTACTTTTTTTTCAAAGCTTCATGTGAAACTGCAAATGTACTGCATGTATAAATTCACATGTAAATGTAGCAAGGTCTGCAGTAACACTTTCCTGATCAACTACTGGCATATAGTGAGCACTGTATTCCTGGCCATTACATGTAGGTTATTCACCAAGAACATGTACAAGTACACAAAATAACGTACATGTACATGTAATGACTACTCAACATCATAAGTTTCACACAGGTTATTCACACAGGTACATGTACATGTGCATGTACATGTAGGTGTACATACATGTATACATGTACATGTAGGTGTACATACATGTATACATGTACATGTAGGTGTACATACATGTATACATGTACAATGTAGGTACAGTAGTTTATTATTGAGCAGGAAACAGTTCTCCAAATTTGCCCTGTGTGTCCCACTATAAATCTCTAAAACAGACCCATGTCCGTGTACAGCACATTACTGCACAAGTAATACAACAGTACCTTAAAGCCCGGTACATGTAAACTTCCATGTGTGATTGTTTGTAATGCAGGCAGTCAGCAAGACATGAAGACGCACACACACACACGTGAACGCAGGAGACGGTGCATGACATCATTTCATCCCAAAATAAAACAATATGGCATCTGAAACTCAGTGATTTTTTGTTGGAAATACCAATTTAGATTGACTTTACCTCGTCATGATGCCAAACCTGAACTCCGGTTTCATGCATTTCACTGATGGACAGCGACATGAATTTAGTTGATCACTGGGGCGTAATATTAAGCATTAATTAACCCTAAACCCCAGGGACCATTGAAATCATGTATATATGCTCGTTGGATTCAGAATGGTTAGGGTTGAGGAGAAATTGGGCACCACAAAGTTCCACCACAAAGTTGAACCTGGCTCAACTCTGCCTATCGTACGCAGGCTGGTTTGCGTTTGTCTGCATTGTCAGCGACACACAAGTTTTTCCATATTAATACATGTATATGTCTGTGTTGCAGTTTGTGTCTTGATTGCATTGCTCTCTGCGTGTCTTACGTTGATATGGACACCAGGCTTAATATAACATGAAGGCAATGGCACTTACTTTTTCTTCCAACAGTATTTATAGTTTTCATTAAATTTTGGCTGCTGGAAACATCAAAAATTACCTTAAAATCTTACCACAAACATGGCCAAGCAGTTGACCGGGGATCAAATTTAATGGCCAATTCCACAGTAAAAAGATGGAGCCATAAATTCCTGAATCGTCCTCCATCACCCCCAACAAAAAAATTGCAAATTTATACATAAATGTATGTACAATGAAAACTTATCGTGTACCAAGTAAAATTTGGAACATTCTACATGTACATGTACATGTATGTGTATTGTTATACCATGGCAATACCGATATGTTACACGTTTTTGGATGATCTAGAACAAATCACATGATACGCCACGGACACGCATATACCAGTAAGCCCTACTGGATTCGCAAAAACGTGAGTGATGTTTACCATGATTCATACATGGATGTACATGTACCAGTACATTGAGTGATGTACTCCATGGGACCTTGATCTTTTCCATCACATTGTATAGCCTTCAGCTTAGCTACAATGTAGGAAGTTATAAGGTCGCGCTGGTATTACGTTAGTTCATGTACAGTAATAATGAAATGTGCTAACAAGGACAGTGAGGCACTATTTCTATTACAACTGCCATTTTGGTTTGCGTTGTTCATTCATATTTTTATAACTGGGCCATTTTCGATAATGTGCTTTTACTCGTATAATGTCTGCAGTTGACAGCAGATTGGTTTCCCAAAACGACATCAGAAATCTGATTTTGTGCATGACAGTATCAGCACAGAAAAATACGGAACATTCTGTAGGCGTGAGAATATGGCAATTCTAAATTCTGCATCGCCATCACAGACATGACGAGGGAGACTCCGTATTTTCAGATGTTACCCAGGACAGAATTAGACAGCTTTCTGAAAAAACAAAATTTGTACATGTCAAGACAGAAGATGGTGTTCCCTGCTAATTATTCAATTTACTTGAAACATGTTCAACTAAACACTTTGTTGGTAAAAACAATTTCAGTGAAATGAAATGCATTGTGATATAAGTTAAAATGAAATGAAACGCATTGTGATATAAGTATTTATAAACAAATGTACAGGTAAGGCAAATGTACATGAAAATGTTTGTTAAATTCAGCCCCAGCTACTGTACAGTGTACATGTATCGGTACATGTACATACAGTGTACATGTACTAAATGTATCAGCCATATGGGTTAATCTTCCCCTGTCATGAGCAGCAGGGCTGAGTTTTCCATGTTACATGTCAAATGCAGTGTACCAGAATAATGTACTGTAAATGACCCATATCAAACTCCATACTTGCTTGAATCAACTGATCAACTAAATTGGATCACAAATGCATCAAACCATCCCTAATGCCAATACGATGTACCAGTACCCGTATAGTACGTTAATGTTACATGTTTGGTACATGTAATTTGACCTTTTACATGGAATTTACTTGACCATATACATGTACGTATATGTACATGTACCAGTATACAGTATGTGGTCTTGAAACTAATGCCTGATCTTGTTCTCGTTGGTTTGTGTCACTAGGAAAATCAGAATCATCTAGTGAAAATGAATTAAAAGAATACATGTATATGAACGCATACACCCAAATGCAATTTTTTCAAGAAGATGCATTATTTCTCATTGTAAAACAAACAAGAATTTCAACCAAATTTATGCATACGTACTTGTATCGGTACCAGTACAAATGCTTTCAAGAGCAGTAAGTTTCAATTTCAATTTCAAAGCAACCATAATTTTTCTTTTTCAATTTGTTCGGTTCATCAGGTCTCCATTCCTTTTATTCATAAACTGAATTGCCTACGTTTTGTCATTTTTGTGCAATTAAGATAATTATGCAGACTGTGTATGCTGGTTTGCTTTCACTGAGAAATTACAGTTTCACTTGGGGTTTCAAAATACAATGTGTCCTAAATAAAAGAAACAAGGTTTCAGGGCTTAATAGACCATGGCTTACCTAGATAGTCGGTCCACACTAATATGACTAACGCATACATTTGCACACAACCAAAATCATCTCAAAATCATCAAAAAGAGTATTTACACGTAATACTGGTACATTCCAGGTAATTCAATCATATTTTGTATTTAATGTTCTTTTTCAGAAATAAAATGCCTGACCGTGTGACAAACAGGACAACCACTGTCTGTCCATGTGACAAATGTTATATAAAAACATCTGTCAGGATTTCACAATGTCAAGGCATTTGGTTCAACTGGGAGGCAGAACTTATAGAAAATTTGAAAAAATCCGATATTATTTTTTCTTAAAAAATAAATTAGATGCAGGTGACAAGTTTTTTATACTTGTCTTGTCTGTCAAGGTGACAAACATTATTTTTGTGGCACCTTATTCCCTAGAATTTCTTATGAAAGAAGAAAGTTTTTGTGAAACTTCAGTTAGCATCAGTGTTGTGGTATACATGTACATGTACATGAATATCCTGATTCATACAAGATGAGGGTGGGCATTTACTGTATGTATACTTGGAAAAACATTTAGAGCACTTTTCCATACCATTTGAGTATTTAAACATTTCTAAGCCAACACTGTACAGAGGCTGTTGCCACCTACATGGACATGTAACTTGGTGTTTTCATACATTGTAGTTCATCAATGCACATAGTCTTACCAACGTAATAATGTAGATTGATGTTGGGGCATTTAAAACAAGCAATGTTTTATTGTTTTAGAATTCACTTTTTCTAACAGATGCCAACGGAAAATAGTGTTGCGAGAATCAAATTACATTGTACGGCATCGTTAACAATAAAAATGAATGCCAGACTGCTTCAATCAAAATGTCAACTCTCTAAGAGAGACGGTTTCATGTAAACCTTTGGGAAAGTCTGTAACTGGATTTGGAACTACTTTTATACTGCACATTTAATTAAATGAGTCAGGCCAGTGTCGCACAGTGAACACTTTCTGTTGAGGCCGCACGCAGATGCAGACAGGCAGCGATCTTTGTTCGCATCTTCGTGCGGCCTCAACAGAAAGTGTTTACTATGCGACAGTGCGCTCACATGCACTGGTACCCAACAACTGTTGCTTGTCATTCCTGCCATTTGGGCATAAATAATGAGGAGCCCTGTGATTGGTCAGTGTGACCCCCAGCGCGCCATAGCCAACTGTCACTTCAACCAGCGTGGCTAAGAATTGCACACACACGTACGGAAAGTGGCTGCAGCCTATTTCCTTGTCATGTGTATCAATCGCAGCCACAGTCAACCATTTGGTCAAGGCTCGTCTTCGCATGTGAACTGCATGACTCTCGGACACTGATCGGGAACTAGTTCCCCCTTTTTTGTAAAACGGCATGGTTTTGGCCCATTTTTTTCTTGGTAACCAGAACAAAGGGATGTACCGGTAAGTTACATGTACAAAACGTAGAAATCCCGAGGGAATGGAGCAGCATTTCTATGGGTACACAACTAGAATAGAATCCCTGTTCATGCTGTGTTAAACGTCATGTACATGTACATGTACAGCCTATGGCGAAAAAGGCTCATTTTCTATAGGATTCGTGGGAGTGGAGCGGATGTCAGACCCCACAGTTCTGGGGGTACAATATCTGTAAATACGTATTACATGTACATCATGTACATGTACATGAAGGCCTAGGCCTACATGTACATGTGCATGTTAACCTGTGACTGTGAGTGTGATGCTACACGTACATGTAGTTCCATACGGACAACACTAATTTTCCCTTAAAATTAGGGTTTTCAGTTCTGCGTTGCGTACATGAAGACACATACAGGGCTGTGTACGCTACGCCATGAAAATCTCACATTTCACAATTTTTACTCTCAAAAACAGACGACTATTTTATATCGCATATGTACAAGTAACTTTGTTTTTGTAAGAAAACACCTAGGCCTGTCAAAAGTTTAAAGTTTCATCTTTCCAAACACGTCATTAAAACAGCCGTTGGATACACCTTTGTTTATAACTCAAAATGTAAATGGCCGATTGAGGTCATTTAAAAAGCATGTTAACTTTCATTTCTTATCATTTGACACCAAAACAGCTCTGTAGACTGTACTCCCTATATAAAAACTTTTGACCTGAAAATGTACCATCATTAGAAAGTGATCATAGCATTCATGTCATAAAAAGTGACATGTTGCTGAGAATGTTCCAAAGCATTTACTAAAAAAACCACTTAGGCTTAGGTTTTTTCAGGCAAGTCTTGGATTTACACGCAGCCACAGGTACATTGACACTATAGTCATACCAATAACCATGGAGGCATGATCATACATAGTAATAATGACAGGGGCCGATTGTGGTTCGCTTTCGCTATTTTGTTTCTTTCACGGCCAAGGCCTATGTTTAAAAACAATCGGCTGTCAGCATGGTCAGCAACTCTCCTACCTTTCTCGAAGATAAATGAGTTTCGGCCAAACCGCAAACTTGATCAATTCACAGCTGAACGCGGTCGGCCTGTTCGAGTATCAACAGCAAAACACACGCCCAAGTTGCACCCATACATTCAGCAATAACCTGAGTGGTGGTGGTTTGTTATCTAGATCTCAGGGCACTCCCAAAAAATCCTGAGGCTGAATTCGAGGGAACAAAACATGACCAGCGCCCTCTTGAGAGTTCAATCATACACAGCTGGTTGGCGAGCGCACGTGCATAGAATATAATGGACGTATGCGCTCAGTTACAACCTAAGATTGCATAGCGCTATACAATCTTTGGTTACAACCAGGGTTATTCCTGTTCCTGCATGGTTAAATCGGTCCGAGTGACTTGATTGCCCAATCGGCTGATCGAGCCCAACATTAATATCTGGATTCCACAGTTCATGCTTGTAAACGGTAATGATCATGTAACTACACCGTACACGTGAAGTGGGATCTGTTCCTGACCTTGCGCCATGTACGGTAACAGAGACCTGCGTGTTGACACGGCAGATGTACCGCCGGTATTGTACAGGTTTACTGTCACTTTGCCCCATTTCCACGTCGCCCCTAACCACTTCGCTCCATCCCCACTTCGCCCCATTTCCACTTTGTCATCCGTGCATGCTCGAGTGTGTTACAAGCTTCTTCAAAAAATGGTCGAGAGGGGAGTTCCATCATGGCCATAAACAACATGTAGGGCCTAGGCCTAGATAGGCCTATTATTATAGAAAACTCTACTAGACTGCATTAAATTATGGAGGTAGAATTCTACCTCCATGATTAAATAAATGTCGACTGCGTTGTCCATTATGGTGAATAAATAGTACATATGGTTGGACTAGCATCAGGGTTATTTATCATCATGTACATGTACATGTACGGTCGCCGTGGCATGAATAGACTGGTTGCCACAGTCCATCACGTATTCTCTTAGATGGGTGAGGCGCAGCGGAACCAGTGCTTTGCTCACATGTTTTTACCTCAGCGACAACTAAACACGAAAATAAATTGCCAATAAATATTTTAGGGTCTCACCGAAACATTTGGGACTGGCGGCCGGGAAATCGGAGGCATTGTTTTGGCCTCTGAAAGTTGGGTTCTCCACATTGTTATTTGGATACTCAAATGTCGATGTTTTTATTTGTTGCATCTAGCCCTATACCTCTGTTTATACTAAAAAAACAGAATAAACGATAATCAACGGGGCGAAGTGGAAATGGAGCGAAGTGGGGATGGAGCGAAGTGGAAATGGGGTGAGGTGGTTAGGGACGAAGTGGCATGGGGCAAAGTGGAAATGGGGCGAAGTGGAAATGGGGCGAAGTGACCGACACCCACTTTACAAGTTGCACAAATCACAAACTTCACTACCCACACTAACTGTGTGTTCGGACGTCCGCCCTTCTCCCGTTTATGTATGTAGGAGTGGGATGGACGTCGGATGCCACAGTTCTGGGGGTAAAACTGCACAAGGAAAGCCGAAACCAAGACTGAGCCTGGGAAATCCAAGACCAACATCTGTAGGTTTCAGACCAATACTTGATGTAAAATTCCATCACTGACTGGACAGTACTTTGAGAATTCAAAGTCACTACAGAAATAGCTCTACTAAGTGGAGTGTAAGTATTTCTCCTTTACGATTTTATCCAAGATCATAAAAGAGGAATACTAACGCTCCACTTAGTAGAGCTACTACGGAAAGAGTTCCGTATACGGATGCCACACCCTGTGCACAAAGTTAGAGTATTTGGACACTGGTTGGTCCATGTTTGTTTGTCGTCTGTCAGTTGGTGGTCCTGTGTTTTTTTAAAGTATAAGACTGGTGTGAAAAATTCTTAGTTTTTTTCTAGTAAATGACTTCATATTTCCCCTCTTAAATTGAACTTTTCTAACTATGTTTTTGCTTTCTGATGGCTAATAGGTCAATGTAGGAAATAATTACAAGCATCAGTAAATGGAACTGTTCCTGTCAGTGTCACTACACCATGGTGTCACATGAAGGATTGATGACTTTGTGTTAGAATTTGAAGTACCGGTACAAATAATGGTTACTGACTAGTACAGTACTACGACTACATGTACATTGCGCAGTAATTATGACACAAGTGACTTGAGAAACACCTTATCAGTAGCATGTTTGTGGTTGCAGATTTAGGTGCTCACAATGTGGATTTGATATCCTTAGAAATAGTTTTTGTATGGGCAGGGAGACGTTTTGGGTTTAAACATTTACATACACTGACATACTTGTTTTCAAGGTTGTTTTGATTTAGTAAGTTCAGAACAATATGCTGTTTTGGTGAATGTGCACATATTTACTGAGTAATTGTAATTAGTGTAATTTAAAGTGTATTTCAAGTTGTGAGTTTTGAGAGTGGCTGGGTTTTTAGGTCTTATTGTTTCTTTAGAATGGTAAAAGTGATAGTGGTACATTCTACTTTAATTCAGTATATCTGTACAGGAAACAAGTCTGTCCGAGAACACGTATACATACCTGTTCTCGGACAGACTTCTTGTTTGGCTTTTCCGTATTCTAGTGTTTTGGAGGAAAAACAGAATTTGGTCCAAAAGAATACACAAATTTATGTGAAAACCAGATATGTTTATGGACAAACATAAGCTGCTTTGGTAGTGGTACTCGTCACATGACGAAAATGTTTGTCTCGAACACTTCCTTCTGTAGCTACATGTAAGGTTCACCCCAATCGGACATGTATTTTGGGAGACATACTGAACATGTACCGGTAGTTGTGAAGGACGCACCTTCAATGACACATGACTTGTCAACTGATGATGTCACCATCACATGATGTCTTTTTTGTCAATAAAATTTCCCTTTATAGCTACATGCTAAGTTTCAACCCAATCGGCCATGTATTTCAGAAGATACTGTGATTTAACCGTAACCCTGCCAGATGCAGCACAGTCCATCAGGTGAAAAAGTCTGATGCACATTGATGCACTTGACAGTCAACGGCAGCCAAATAGACTGGTCATGTTGAGACAATGGGAGCTAGTCCCATTTAGCAATGCCACTGTTGGATCTTGTGGTGACTGGCAACCCCAAACTCCAAGGCTGTTTGGCCTTGAGGGAGAGTTGACCTGTTGGATCTTGTTACACTAGGGAGGCAAGCTACTTTGACTAGTTTGATGGTCTGGCAGTGTTTTTAGCCAAAGTAGCCATGGTTAAAGGATGTACATTCAATGTCACATGACTTGTCATCAATATTCTTCTATAATGCTTCCCTTTCGACCTATCTGCAAGGTTTCAACCCAATCGGACATGCATTTCAGGAGATAAAGTGCTTTAATGGATGCACCTTTAATGTCACATGATGATGTCATCATCACATGATGTCAATTTTCATCTGTAACACTTTCCCTTCTACATGTACATGTACATGTAGCTATCTGCACAGTTTCAACCCAATCAGTGTACTTCATGGGACACATGCTTCAAAAGGTGCACCTTTTAGTTAGTTAACACAAGATGAAATCATCATCGTAAGATGTCAATTTTCATCGATAACACTTGTCTTTTTTGATAACTGCAACTTTTCCACCCAATTGGACGTTTACTTCAAGAGATATACAGCAGTGTGCAAAATTATTTGAACACTGCATTTTTTTATACTGTGTACTGGTACATGTATGTATTTTAGTTCCCTGTGATGAAATGGCAATCAGTACAGTACGTGCATACATATCCATGAAATGTTATTTTTAACATTAGTGTTTGAATACATACAGCAGTACATGTATACACGTGCAAAATAATTTGAACATTTGACATTCTGCGTACGCAGACTTGCCGTTTGTTCCAAACTGTTCAATCTTAGATTCCTCACTCCATACCGGTAGGATTTTAGACCCATCCTCCTTTGTCCAGTGCTTGTGTTTTGTCGTAAGCATGATGTTGGCATAGATTGGTGTCTATAAACCTGTCCAATGCTTGGGCTGCATTTTATGTCTGTGGTTATTGATCTGTAGCACCATCATCAGAGAAGGTTTTTATTTGTGCCCTTTGCTCAGTTGTAAGTTCCTTCTTTGCCCTCCGTCATGTTCAAGCTGTGGTGATCTGTGCTCTGGGTTACATGTACATGTAGTTTGGATGGCTTTATGTACCCTTTTGGCTAAATGTGGGATTTTTGTAATATATTCAAAACTGTATGCATACATTGTTGACAAAAGGCTGTTGCTGCTGATGACCACCAAAGCTTGCCAAAGCTTGCCAGCTAATCTCCCGATAACAGATAGAGCATACTGTCCCAAACATTAATTACCCTTAGGTTCTTATCAGAACTACACATACACATAGATGTACAAGAGAGATATTTCACATGGTGCTACCAGAAACCTACAGTATTACCTCTATTTGCCACCATCACCATGAAGAACTTCAATGCTCAACTAATGCATGCAAAGCAAATTGCAATTGATTTGGACAAAAAAACCCTGCACAATAATGAGCAAGAGGTGTATGAATAGCTGGTTACTAGAGTTGTCTGGATAATGTTCTTAAATTTGAAAACATCAGATACATGCAACTGGTTTATTTCACTACAAGCAACTTCATTCTCAAATGTGCCATGTGTTCAAATAATTTGAATATGTACAGGTACATACAAAACATCTGATATTGATTGCCATTTCATCAAAAGAAAGTTACTATAAGTACCTAATATACCAAGTGTTCAAACAATTTTGCACACCACTGTAGTGCTTTGAAGGTTCCATCACTTGTCACCTGATGATATCATCACATGATGTCAATTTTCTTCTATAACACTTCCTTTTCTTGCAGAAAAACAAAACATTGTTCCAAAAGCAAAAGCAAAAAATAAGTAGAAAAACAAAGGCTACCCCGCACAGTGTGGAAAAGCCAGTAATGTTGCCTCCTGTATCCACTTTTTTCATCATACATGTATCTCATATTTAATTACAGGAATGTTAAACAGATATTAATTTGGCACTGAGAAAAAAATCTAAGTTTGTCAAAATACTTATCTTCTTGACTACCCAAGACTTTGTACACAACCAATGCAACATTCTTCAGTCACACACATTTACTCCCAGACCTAATCATAGAGATTGAGTTATTTGAATTATTCTTTGAAATAATGATGCCGAATTTGTACATCTCTCAAGACATTCTAAAATTAGTCAGAACTCTACCAGTGGTACTTATTACTGTGCAAGTTGCTCCCAAAGTACTGCCAAAAGACTCCAAAGTATTTGTTAATCAAATGCAGTGTTGGAGGCCTTCACCTCTACTTAGGATGAACTTGTGCAGTTCAAGAAATTTTCCTCAATGGCAGAAAAAAAAACAAATAAACTACAATATCAGGAAACCTTCCTTCATTGTTGTGGCTTTATGTTAAAATTAATTTTAACTTCTTTACTTACCCCCAGATGGGCCCAGTGCCACCTCCTGACTGTACCTTGCCCCATTTCTGCTTTTTAAGGCTTTTTTATTCCTTAAGCATTTTAAAAGTACATGTATGCAAATATGGAACACCAATATTATAAACTGTTTAAGCCCTGTTTGTTTTTAACAATACAAGCAGTATGTATTGATGAAATATTGATAAAAACAAATATTTTATATATAAAAATTACCCTACCCAGACAAGGTGTCAGTTAGGTTCTTCAAAATTATGACTTCCTTGCTCACACAAAGAAAATATTAGTATGTTTTGAACTGTGCAATAAATGTATTTATAAAATTTGATAAAAACCCTGTATAATCAGTGTCAAAAGTTGCTTAACCCTGACAAGGTATCATCTTTCAAATTCTTCAAACCTCCTTGCTCAGAATATTCAAAGAAACATATATCCAACAAAACAGGGTTCACCCCTCTGGTTGCTGGACTACATATCTTTATCTCATCCAGTGTGTACACATGTACATGTTCAGTGTAAGAAACAGCAGAAAAATTTACATAGAAAAGATTTACATGCTTTGTGAAAACACAAACAGTGCAGAATCTGATCATTGAGGAGATCTTACATGTACCTACATGTACATGCACATTCACATGTACATGTATGCTAATTGCTGCAATGAGGTTGATGATCATCGTAACGAACAAATTGAATCACAATTTTTGAGATGCTGTCCTTGAAAAGTGGTGAGAATTCAATTACAGGTATGAGAAGGTCCATTGTAGCATAATCTGTCTTTTGTGTCCTTTTTTGGTTTTATGCAGGAAATGTAAAGAATCAGAAGTGAGACTTTCAACAGAATTCCATTCAATACATGCAGCAATCAAAGTATGGCTATCAGTGATTACATTGCTGCACTCAAAGATAATCCATATTTTGGAGCTGGATTTGGACTTGTCACTGTTGGTGCATTTCTTGCACTAGCAAAGAAAGGTGCACAGTATGGTACCATTGCTCTGCGGCGCCATCTTTTAATGACTTTGGAGGTTCCAAGCAAAGATAAAAGTTACTATTGGTTGCTGCATTGGATCACAGTTAATGCAAGACGGGCACAACACCTGAGTGTAGAGACAACATTCCAACAAAGTGAGAGTGGCAAGATAAACACACAGTTTGACTTTGTGCCAAGCCCAGGGAACCATTACTTCCGGTTAGTTTACAAATTTACCAAATCCTCTCTACAAGCTGGTTCATACTTAGCACGAAAATAGAAGTGAACACAAATTTGTGATGTCAGATTAAATAATTGAAATAATCATACATGCAATCGCTGTAACACATTGCAACTGAGCAAATTCATTGCAAATGTTGTGACATCAACTTATACTTTGCTTTGGCATTTGCGTGAAGCATCTTGGTTGCCTTAAACTGTTCCTATGACTCACATTTATATTTACATGTACTTCCATAGTATAACAAAACAGAATGTGCTGTCTGCTGTGAATTTGCCTTTGGTACCATTTTCCCCCTTGGGTGTACAAAACATCATGGACCCCCTTCCCAGCAGGCAACAATTGTGTAATGTATAGTTGTGATGAAAAGTCTACATGCACTTGGGCTGAAATGTTTTAAAGGTCACCTATTGTATTTTTGGTAGCCTTTCTTTTTCTGAAGCTGATCAGAAAGAATGTGATAAAGGACACTACACATGCGTGTGCACATGTACATGTGTAATGGAATCTGTCATCCCAAGTGGATGTAATTTTTCCACCATTGCTGTAACTTGTGATTCATGTGAATATTCGTTGTGTAATGTTTAGTTACAAGAATACATGGATCTGGGTTGAGCGTAATAGAGAGAAGCAGATGATAGACTTGCATACTGGTACACCATGGGAAACAGTTACACTTACAGCCATCAGTAGGAATAGACAGCTGTTCTTTGATATCCTCAATCAAGGTTGGTATTTAACAATTATTGATTGCTGTGATATGGAATGTGATATTTTAATGTGTGATATTTTGAGGGTGTTAAAAACAAGAGGTAGACATGAGTATAACAATTACATTCATGCAGAGGTATAGCACTCCCATTTGCTCTGGTCCAAAACATTTATCCTGTGAGCCAAAACAGATTCATTTATTTTTCCTTCGCTGGCCCAACCATGTTATAGCTGCTTCCTTAGAATTTCAGCTTCCGGGTAAAAAAAGGGCGTAACACTATCCAGGAACTATAAATCAAATGTATACAGGAACAATGTACTTTGTCATCAGCCAACTAAATTTGCACCCGAGTATTTCAAGTGTAATTAAAATTGTACATGTATTCTTTTGAAACTGGAGTTCCAATATTTTTTTTAAATTTACAGCTCGAGAAATGGCACTGTTGAAGCAAGAAGGCAAAACAATCATGTACACAGCAATGGGCTCTGAATGGCGACAATTTGGTTATCCTAGAAAGCGCCGTCCACTTTCATCTGTCATCTTGGATTCTGAGATAGCTGAAGATATACTTGGAGATGCACAGGAGTTTATCAACAATCCTAAATGGTACTCAGATAGAGGTACTGTACATGTGGAAAATTGTATGTCATTGCTTGCACAGCACGTACATATGTATATAAGGCTGAATGTGTATATTGTTTTGTAGTTGTGGGACCACGTAGAAGTGTGTTACAGAATCAAAACTGTAAGGATTCTGAAAAGTCCTCACTATTTGGCCCACGTTGTTTAGAAATGACATTATCTCAGACACAGTGTCAGAGAGTCCCTGTTAGGGTTTATAATTGTGTACATGCATTCTTGGTGCAGAAATGTGTGACTTGAATTTGTCAAACACACCCAACCCATTTTGTTTTGATCTGTGATAGACTACATACCGGTACCTGATCTTTCCAGCACATGCATGTACATGTATTGTGTGAGTCAAAATACATCTTTGATCTTTAACCATGTACCGGTAATTACTCCTAATCCTTCAGCATTCTTGCTACAAATCATCACATACATGTATGCTGAGAAATCCTCCAGTGTGCAAAAATCCAGGGGCCCATTCTTTGTTCAGACATCATCAAGCCCCATGTACATGTGATAAATACTTGTACAAGTCAAATCTTCCAAAACCTGACAGATTCAAAAGAATCTGGGATGGTCAAAACAGGCCTTGAAATTAACATTCATAAGAACGTACCTCTGACAGTTTAGCCATTCCTACATGTATTGGTCGAGAGCCCGTCACCTGGTCTGTCTTAAATGAGTAATAAAGCATGAGCTGCTGGTCATTGCGTTTGCGACCACATGTGTAATAGACACCACATACACATGAATCTCCATATGGCGACCTGTGACATGCACATACCATTACATGGCTAGACGGACATTGAAAAAAATGAAGAGAAAGTGTTCAAAGAAATTGTTGGAAATTTGTTATTTTAAATGTTTGGCCTGTCTGACTCAAAAAGGAATTTACATGTATGAATGTGTGGCTTGAGCATTAGTTGCATTCATTCTTTTAAGTCATTTTTAAACAAATGTTAAAATTGGCCAATCATATACACCTGTATTTATCATTCTGTAATCTGGAGAAGTATTTAGGAACAACAGGACTGTTGGAGATGTACATGCATGTGCAACTGAATGAGTGACATAAATATTGATATTTTATTTAGGTATACCATACAGAAGAGGATATCTACTGCATGGTCCACCTGGCTGTGGAAAAAGTAGTTTCATGTGAGTAGATACTTCTTGTAATCAGGGTTATGTGAACATATGAAGCCTTTTTAGTCCTGTAATATGGGTTTAAGAAATTTACAAACAGATTCTAAAGTTTTGCTTGTATGGGAGGAAAACGTGCACCTAATAAAAGACATGAAACAGCTGTCTCTCAGTCCAAGATGACAATGCCAACACGGAATCTTCAAGTAATTCAGTTTCAGTGAGCTTGTTTGGTACCTACATGTAGTATTCCAACAGCACATGCATTTAAAAGGCGTGGGATTTTTCCTTATTTACTGCAGATTTCCACAGGTTTTGAAATTTGTAAAAAAAGATGAATAATAACAAATTTTAAAAATGCCTTTTTTTGGAAACATGTTTACCCAAACATAAAGTCAAATAACCAAGTCTTTACACTTGAAGTCATCAGCAGAAAATCATGTCTTCTATAAATTGTCCTGTTTTCTGTTGAAACTAATTATTTGTACTTCATTTCTTTAATTTAGTAAGCCACCCCCACCAAGTTTTATTGCATGCACAAGGTGTAAGAAGCATGCACAATGAAACAGTGCATGCTTGGTACATAAACACTGGATCCTGCCACTAAGAATGAATTAATGACATGGAAGCACTGGGAGCCAGTGACCTTGTGATGACCTGAAACATACTCTTAACTTCAACAACCCAAAGCCATGACATGATTCACACCTCTGGAAAGATATCTTCGAGTTAGACTTCACAGAACTAGATTTTTCTGTACCTGTACCACTAGGTGTCTGCCGTTATCATGTATCTGTTTTGATGTCTCATTGCTTAATGTGTGTTTTTTAGAAGTCCAGTGAAGCTTAACCCTAACAGTCCTCAATCCTCCAACAGGTGAAGAATTGAGGAGTGTTAGGGTTAATTTTCTGTCGGACCATTGCAAGGCTTACACAGTGGTGGCTGGTCCAAGTAGGCATCCGTTGACTCTGATGTAGGCCTACCTCTGTGGTTTACAATAGTCCAAACTCCAAACTTCTTTGAGTGTTGTAACATAAACACTTTTTTAATTTGAGCATCGTATCCAACATAGCACTGTAAACAAAAGTGTCATAAAATTTTGTTAAATGTACACAGAGAATACGAGACTAGTTTGATGATAAAGAAACTTTTACATTAGGAAGACAGAACATCATGGTTACATAAGGGAGTACTATCACAGAAATCTTATACTGTTGCCAGAGATAATGTCCGTGTAGCAGACACCTTGGTTGGTGTCTGCTACAATTGACAAAGTTTAGCCAGTAGGTTAAATTTTTGCCAGAAGTAGGGGGAAAACAATCATTTTCTTCACTTCATACAGAGACAATCTGTAATAACTGTATAACGGAGGCTTTAGTGCATTTTTATGGTGTAAAACCCGTGCCATTATTTCAAACAATATCCCCCCTTAAGCTCCTGTTGGGAGTTGGTAGTGACCTATACTAATTCCAAAGGTGTCGACTCACTTGGCAGTGCCTCTCCTTCTTTTATTCAGATATTCTCTTTCTTATGCCTAACAAATTGAAGGACATCATAATTTGGAAACGAGGTCAGCCTTACCAGCGTAGTATGCAAACTCACATACTCTGAACATGTTAAAGCTGGCATCTTATGACATACATGTATGCACTTTGTTTTCAAATGACCCTTCCTTTTTGTTATGGTCAGATGATATGTCGTTATTACACCTAAAGCAGGTTCATCCTCTCTTCAAGAGCTAGTTGTAATTTTCCACAGCGGTTTTACTCCAACAGCCAAATTTCACTTTTTTTATTTTTTTCATTTGTGAGAATATATTTATATCATGCGCATGCATTTGTGTACATTTTTCTACATGTAGTGTTCCTTAAATTGTAGACAAATGTCTGAGGCATACATGTATTTCTAATGACTAAACTATATGTTGGTTTGCTTCAGTCTGTAGTCAGGGGCTTTACAAAGTTTGTTCTGTTATAATATAAACATGTGTTTAAAGTAGAGTGTCAGAGATCGGTGTGACATATGCTGGTAGGCATTGGGACAATCTTACATTAAGATTTTTTTTTTTAATTTGTCGATAATTCACAGACTGTATGATTGATAACTACATGTTATTATCACAGAATGGCTCTTGCAGGGGAGCTCCAGTATAGTATATGCATGATGAACCTGAGTGAACGAAGCTTATCTGATGATAGATTGAACCATCTTATGAATGTAGCTCCTCAACAAAGTATCATCTTACTTGAAGATATTGATGCAGCATTTGTCAGCAGAGAAGACAGCAATGATGGTAAGGTACAGTGTTCAAAGATCAGCAAATACACATGTGTACTGTAGATAAAAAGTCATTGACACAGAAATGCATCATACTTGTGCCTATATTTTCTGTTACATTTTAGGGTGTCAACAAAATTCTTCCTAGAATCATTCTTTGGGATATCTTCATATTGTTTTTCCTGTGATGTTAAGGAAGTTACTGACTCTTTGGCTGCAGTCACACGTGTTACTCTCAGTAGTCATGGGTACAGGAAAATGTTGCCTACACATTGCTCTTCTTGGATCAATTCCTACAAACCGTCAACAGTTGTCTTTGTGCCATTGTGAAATAACCATGTGGTGTGTAACACAAGACTATATGTACTTGTGGCCAAATGGACAGTATTCTTTTGTTTACCAGCCAGTGGTTTTCTTGCCATTTACTCATGAGGGTGTTCATGATAACATCAGTCAGTTGCTTTAACCACTTCCTACCAGGTGGAATTTGCATATGCGGGATTAGTTCCCGGGCATTTTTCAAGATTTCCCATTTTCAAAAATTTTCAAAAATTCATAACTGTATTTTCTAGACACTTACACCCACACAAATAACTGGCTGGTGGCAATTCTAATCTGACAGGCAACCTCTATTGATACCCGAGTATTGCAGCCAAGCCTACTGCTCAGTAAAGAGAGCCCTCATTGTGTGGTGTTGTGTAATTTCCTTTGTTCCTGAAATTGGCCCAGTGCATTACTGAATGGCAGTGGTGTCTTTTCAAATGCGGCCAAATTAGCGTGCAGCGGTATTATATATCGCTCATCACTGGAGTGCTGGAGCACTTTTGTCTTCGCTGATAATCTGCGGGTGCTGAATGCCACAAACTGGTGTGTACTGTTTCAAAACAATGATGGATAACCTCCGCTAATTCTAGCACTCTTTGCTGAAAAATGTTGGCAATTCCTAGCAGCTCAGTCTGTTGTTCTGAGTACGGAACAAAAGGCCCAGCTCCTTTGTCTAATTTGGGACACCTTGGGTATGGGCACAAACCCAAGGTCTCAGCTATCGGAAACCCTGGCACCAATTGTAGCCTTTGTGATCACTTGGTACTCCTGTGTGAGTTCTATGAAATATCCCTTATTCATTGTGTTTCTCCTTTCTTTTTTTCTTTAACTGATAAAATTAAAACTGGTTCCATCGTTATATTGGAAATCCATTACCAATAGTTTTGATGTTTAGAATTTTCCCTATGTTAAGATAAAGGTTGAAGATGGTGTCTGATGTTAAAAAAACTGGAATAAACAGTATTCATGCATCATCAGTGTGTGGTCTGATCCACCACACATGCATAAATCCTAAACTATAATTGTGAGAGCTGGCTCAAACTTAACTTTCTGTAGGTCCATTTCCAATACCATACTTATCAAACTAATCGTTTGTTAAAGGCTGCACTGCCTGAAGAATATTATTGTGAATTTAGAAGTTAGCTGCCTATTGCAAAATCAAATGAAACAATAAATTCTCCCTTTTTGGATTCAATTACAATCAGTTCCTTTTTGTTGCTAAAGGAAATGCTCAGGCTGTTAATTTGTTCCTCTGAAGTGAATGAATTTTTAAAAAGTAAGTCAGATTTTTCACTGTATGATTTGAGCATTGCATTGAAACATGGCACTAAGAATGTATTAATTTGGTCAATAAATCATAATGTATGCATGGCGCTGCTTATTGATTACTAAATAAGAGTCAACTGAAAGGTCACTAGTTCTGCATTTTTTCCACACTGAGCTTGTATCTTTTAGGCAACTGGTGACGATGACATTGAGGGTGCTATTGTATCAAGGTAGATGTATACCCACAGAAGATGTGCACTTGTACAACCGCTTCCCTTGTGAACAGCTGCCACAAGCAACGTTGGTGGAAATAACAATTTGTACTGCATTCCAATTCATTCCAAATCATCTGGAGTCAAAAGTGTCAATCATTTAGAGGGGCTTTGATTTTTGAGGGGTGCATGCATGTAGCTGGAGAGAAATTGATGGTAATGAGTTTCTCCCGTCATTTCACACTCAAAGGGGAAACAGTGTCAGTGTCTACATTATATTAAAATTCACCAACCAAATGGCACAGAGGAAAATAATTACTCCTACTGACACTCCTATGACTACACTTCACAAACAAGTAGAGGAGGAGAATGTATATCAGGGCCTATTAAAATGAAGATTTGGAGCAAAAGTTACCTGCATACAAAATGTGATGTCGCAAACCTTTTGGACCACACACAGACACACTTCTGCAGATCACACAGGGAAAAGTCTTCTACCAGTGTCAGCTTATTGAAAATTTTACACGTAGGTCATGCTAATAATGTGTGACACAAATAGTTGCATTAAAACAGCTTTAAAAAGGTCTAGAATAAGATCTTTTAGTTAAATAAACAGCAAAGGACTTACAGCATTGAGAACAATCTTTTTTGGTGTCATGTGAACATCCTGCTTTTTTAAAAACCTTCACGCATTTGTTGTTTCAACCTTATCCTTCATACCTTCATATCAGTGCTGTGAGTTTGAAATTTTGGCTCAAGGTTTAATAATTAGTTCTAAAAATGAGTGATCAATGTGAAGCTGAATTGCTGCTGAAATAGTTTTCAGTTATTAGTTGTAGATGAGTTCAGGTACAGGTAACCACACACAGATCAGCACAAGATAAGGTTTTACACTAACAGTTTTTATCTTGAAGGATCTCTTTTGGAAAAACATGGTAAAAGAAGTGTAGACAACTGAAACACTGCCAACTGCACAGTCTTCAAGTGTGATTTTGTATTAATGTTAGTGTGATTTTTAATTGTGTGCAGCTAAGTACCAAGGCATGGGCCGTGTCACTCTGAGTGGACTTCTGAACACACTAGATGGTGTTGCGTCAACAGAAGCTAGAATAGTCTTCATGACAACCAACTACATTGAAAGGTTAGTGCTCACTGAACATCTCAAACATGCTTGACTTGTCATTGCATTCACTTCTAATGCTACATCACATCACATCACTCGTCTCAACCCACCAAGATCGACGGGGACAGATCTTTGGGCAACCAGTCTTCCACAACCTACATGTACATGTACACACGTCAACTTATCAGCATGATCTTGAAGGTTTTAGTGCTAGTTGACAGGTTGAGACTGCTCAAATGGTACAGTCCAGGGGTTATCACCCTAAAATAGCATGGGGCAAAACCCTCTCAACATTTTCTCCAGTGTCATTGTGCAGTATGAGCAGGGTTGCGCTGCAAGGTGCTCAGTTCAGACATGACAGCAGGGTCTCACTTGCGACGAATTAAACATCAGAGGAACACACCAGAAAAGTAGGGGTCCAGTCCGTAGGTTCAGATTTGCTGATTTATTGTTATTCGGATTTAATTAGAATCACATGCATACATTGTAAGAGCCAACACACATGAGGGTGTGAACTAATGAAACGATGATGCAACTCAGTCCTATGTTGGAATTGAATTAAAACCTCACAGATTTACTCTTGGCTTTATATGCGTACAAGTTTTTAAAAAGATCAGACATGGAATAGCCAAGATACAGGGAGTGGTTACTTTTACACCTCTTTCCTGGTGTGAAATAATCTAGAAAAAAATGGTCAGGGTCAAGCCTGTCTTAACTTTGTGTCTGGCAATATTTTTGTGTGTGTGTGATGGCATTTGCTGCTAAATAGTTTAACATTTATAGTGGTTATAGATGATTTAAATTGAAGGCTTTTATTGGTTTCCCTCTGCATTTTGGATATATATGCAGAGGTACATTGCACATAGCATTTGTAATGATGTACCTCTGCGTTATGCTATATGAATGTATTAGCACTGACCCATAACATTGTCGTTACATCTCAAACCAGGCTGAGTACTAAGGCCTCGTTTATTACAAAGGGCCAAAATTTTGTGCCTTGTGGGTCATACAGAATGTAACTTCCCAAAGTGTGACTTTTTATGTCCTGACCTCACCTCTGAAATGTGACTTGGACATATCATTGAAATTGACTTCAAATTATTTTTGTTTAGCAGGTTAAGCAGATAACATGCATTACTT